ATATTCCATTGTCTGGAGGTACTACAGTTTACTTATCCATTCACCTACCAAGAGACAATTTGGTTGCTTCCAATTTTTGACAACCATGAATAAAGCTGCTATAAACATCTGTATGCAGGTTTTATGTGGACATAACTTTTCAACTTATCTGAGTAAATACCAAGGCACATGATTACTGGATTGTATGGCAAAAGTATGTTTAGTTTTTTAAGAAATTGACAAACGGTTTTCAACAGTGGCTGGGTGTTTAGTTTTTAAAGAAATTATCAGTTTTCTATAGTGGCTGGGGTTTGGTCCATACTCCTGAAAGATACAATTCCAAATGCTGTAATATCAAATATTGAATCCCAAAAGACCAAAATCCTAAAGTCTAAAATCCCAAAAATCCCAATCCTGATAGACCAAAATCACAACATAATTCTGGAAAGATAATTAAAAAATAATTTTTTAAAGACATTTACTTACATTTGTAAAGGAGGTTTGATTGAGAAACATAAAAACACAACCAAATACTTCATAGGCATTTGAGATTATGGCATTTGGGATTTTTGTCTTTCAGATTATGATTGGCACTGTGTAACGGCTCTACCATTATGCATTCCCACCAGCAATGAATGAGAGTTCTTGCTGCACCAGCATTTGGTGTTTTTAATGTTTTGCATTTGAGCCATTCTAATATGTACATAGTGGTATCTCATTTTAATTTGCCATTTGCTGATGGTACACAATGTTGACAATTTTTTCATATGCTTGTTTGCTACCTGTATGTCTTCTTTGGTGAGTTTTTAGAGTACTTTGGACACCAGTCCTTTATCAAATCTATTTTGCAAATATTTTCTCCCAGTCTGTGGTTTGTCATTTCATTCTCTTGAATGTGCTTTCACAGAGCAAACGTTTTTAATTCAATGAAGTACAGCTTATTGAAGGGGTGGCCTACCCCTCCACACCTGTGGGCGTTTCTCGTTAGGTGGAACCAGAGACTTGAGAAAAGACATGAGACACAGAGACAAAGCATAGAGAAAGAAAAAGTGGGCCCAGGGGACCAGTGCTCAGCATACAGAGGACCTACGCAGGCACCAGTCTCTGAGTTCCCTCATTATTTATTGATCATTATCTTTACCATCTTAGAAAAAGAGAAGTGGCAGGATAATAGGATCATCATAGGGAGAAGGCCAGCAGTAAGACATATGAATAAAGATCTCTGTGACATGAATAAGTTTAAGGAAAAGTGCTATGCCTTGATATGCATATGCAAACATCTCCATAAACCTTTTTAGTGCATAAAGAGCAGCATTGCCGCTAGCACGTCCCACCTTCAGCCCTAAGGCGGTTTTCTCCTTTCTCAGTAAACAGAACACACAATTCAGTTTTACATCGAGATGTTCCATTGCCCAGGGACGGGCAGGAGACAGACGCTTTTTTCTATCTCAACTACCAAGAGGACTTCTTTCCCTTACACTAGTCCTCCTCAGTTCAGACCCTTCACGGGTGTCAGGCTGGGGGACGATCAGGTCTTTCCCTTCCCACGAGGTCATATTTCAGACTATCACATGGGGAGAAACCTTGGACAATACCTAGCTTTCCTAGGCGGAGGTCCCTGCGACCTTTGGCAGTGTATGTGTCCCTGGGTACTTGAGATTAAGAGAATGGTGATGACTTTTCACAAGCATACTGCCTTCAGGCACTTGTTTAACAAAGCACACCCTGCACAGCCCAAAATCCGTTAAACCTTGAGTCACCATAGCACATGTCTCTTGCAAGGACAAGTTGGGGGTAGGGTCACAGATTAACAGCATCTCAAATACAGAACAAAATGGAGTCTCTTATGTCTACTTCTTTCTGTATAGACACAGTAACAGTCTGATCTCTCTTTCTTTTCCCCATAGCTAATCAATTATTTATTTCATGGAGTATGCCTTTGGTGTTAGATCTAAAATATTCACCTCAAACCCAAGGTCATCTAGATTTTCTTCTAGGAGTTTCATAGTTTAGCATTTTACATTTCAGTCTAAAATCCATTTTGAGCTGATTTTGTGAAGAGCTTAAGATCTGTGTCTAGATTCATCTTTTTGCATGTGAACATCCCCTTGTTCAGCATCATTTGTTGAAAACTTACCTCTTCTCCATTGTATTCCCTTTGCTCCTTTATAAAAAATCAGTTGGATGGGTCTATACCTGTGCTCTCTATTCTGTTCCATTGATCTATTTTTCTATTCTTTTACAAATACCTGCTGTCCTTATTACTGTAGCTTTATAGTAAGTCTTGAAGTCGGGTAGTGACAGTCCTCCAACTGTGTGCTTCTTCAATATTATGTTTGCTATATTGGGTCTTTTCCCTGTCCTTATAAACTTAAAAATCTGTTGATATCCAGGAAACTATTTTCTGGGATTTTGATTGGGTCTGCCTTGGAGCTACACGTCAAGTTGGGAAGAAGTGATATCTTGATAATATTGAGTCTTCCTATCCATAAACATGGAATCTCTCTCCTTTTATTTAGCTTTTTATTTCTTCATCAGAGTTTTATAACTTCCCTCATAAAGGTCTTAAATATTTTTGTTAGTTTTATGCCTAAGTATTTAACTTGGGGGTACCATTGTAAATGGAATTTCGTTTTTAATTTCAAATCCCATTTGTTTGTTGCTGGCATACAGGAAAGCAGTTAACTTTTGTATATCAACCTATTTTTGCCACCTTGTTATAATTGCTTATTAGCTCTAGGAGGGTTTTTCTTTTTTGTTTTTTGGTCAATTCTTTCAGATTTTCTACGTAGACAATCATGTCATCTGCAAACAAAGGCAGTTCTATTTTCTTCTTCCCAATCTGTATACTTTTTACTTCTTTTTCTTGTCTTATTGCATTAGCTAGGACTTCCAATAAATATGATGTTGAAAAGGGTTGGTCAAAGAAGACATCCTTGCCTTGCTCCTGATCTTAGTGGGAAAGCTTCAATTTCTTACCATTAAGTACAATGTTAGCTGAAAGATTTTTGCATATGTTCTTTATCAAGTTGAGTAAGTTCCCCTCTATTACTAGTTTGCGGAGAGTTCTGATCACGAATGAGAGCTGGTTTTTGTCAGATGCTTTTTCTGCATCTATTGATATGATCATGTGATTTTTCTTCTTTAGCCTGTTGCTATGACAGATTACATTAATTTTCAAATGGTGAACCAGATTTGCATTATTAGAATAAAGTGCACTTGATCATAATGCATAATTATCTTTATACATCGTTGGATTCGATTTGCTAATATTTTGTTGAGGACTTTTGCATCTATGTTCATGAGACATATTTGTCTGTAGTCTTCTTTTTTTCTAATGTCTCTGTCTGATTTTGGTATTAGGTATTAGAGTAATTATGGCCTCATAAAATGAGTTAGGAAGTGTTTCCTCTGCTTCTATCTTCTGAAAGATTATAGAGCATTGGTATAATATTTTTCTTAAATATTTGATAGGATTTGCCAATGAGGCCATCTGGGCTTGGTGGTTTCTGTTCTAGAAATTATCATTATTATTAATTCAATTATTTAATATATATAAGCCTATTTAGATTATCTATTATATGACATTTTGATGAGTCCAGTATGTTCATTCCACTCCCGCTGTTAAGCTCTTTGAGCAGCTTCATATCTAAAAAGTGCATCAGGACAAGTTTGTGTCTTTTTGTCTCTTTTTATTTATTCTGAATGATTAAGAGTTCAAATTCAGGAATTACACAGTGTATGTAGGGCAAACAATATCTCCATCACTGACTTGTACCTGACCAAGATCTGTGAAATTCTGGGTAAATGACTAAACTCAGTCTCAGTTTCCTCATGGGATAAAAGTACATCATAGCTGGTGGTGACAGTAAATGATGGTAATGATATTTCTTGAGTTATTAAAAGTAATGTCTTATATAGACCGCTCTTTCCTCCCACATACAGTATTTGAAACAATCTTTTTTTTTTTTCTTCTATGAATCCATAGTGATCTGTGAGTAACAACCTAACTGTTAAATAGAGGACCCCTTCTTCAATATAGTTTCCCCTTTATTCATTTTTAAAACTTTAACAAAAGTAGTCGAATATGGTGAACACTAGATGGAGCATCATTCCAAGTAGAATAATCCTTCTTAACCAAGAACTTTCAAGGGCCAGGTGTGGTGGCTCACACCTGTAATCCCAGCACTTTGGGAGACCAAGATGGGTGGATCACTAGGTCAGGAGATCGAGGCCAACCTGGCTCACACGGTGAAACCCTATCTCTATTAAAAATACAAAAAATTAGCCAGGCGTGGTGGTGGGCACCTGTAGTCCCAGCTACTTGGGAGGCTGAGGCAGGAGAATGGCGTGAACCTAGGAGGCAGAGCTTGCAGTGAGCCGAGATCGCACCACTGCGCTCCAGCCTGGGCGACAGAGCAAAACTCCGTCTCAAAAAAAAAAAAAGAACTTTCTAGTATAGCTTAAAAATAAATTATGTCTTGTATATTTCAAAATAGCTAAAAGAGAATAATTCAAATATTTCTAACATAAATAAAAAACAAGGTGATAGACATCCCAATTATACTGATTTGACCTTTACAAATTATATGAATGTATTCAATTATCACATGTGCCCCAAAAATGTATACCTGTATTATATGTCAATTAAAAAGTAAAACTTTCAAAATAATAAGTCATACCTAGAAAAGTAATCACTCATAATTACAAGTCACTGGACACATTTTGCAAGTAAACATAAATGGCTTTGGATATCTCAGGGATGTGGATAGGAAAAAGCAGACAATACAAAGACGTGGATACATAGTAGTCATATGTGGTATTATGGGCTGTGTTCCCCCAAAATTCACATGTTGAAGTCCTAACCCCATGTATCTCAGCATGTGACTGTCTTGGGATACAGGATCTTTAAAGAGGTAATTAAGTTAAAATGAAGTCATTGGATGGACCCTAATTGAATATGACTGGTGTCCTGCTAAGAAGAGGAAATTTGGACACAGACACACAAACGAAAAACAATGTGAAGACACAGGAAGAAGACATTTATCTACAAGTCAAAGACAGAGGCCTGGAACAGATCCTTCCTTCATGGTCCTTAGGAGAAACCAACCATGCTAACATCTTGATCTTGGACTTCTAGCCTCTAGAACTATAAAAAAAAAAAAATTAATTCCAGTTGTTTAAGCTACCCAGTCTGTTGTATTTTGTTATGGAAACCCTAGGAAGCTAATGCAAGTGGAAAGGAATACTAGAATGTAAGATCCATGAGGACAGGAATTTTGGTCTTTTTTGGTCACTGACGTGGCCCAAACACCTAGAACAATGCCTGGCACATAGTTGGTATGCAATAAATACTTGCTAAGTGAACTAATAAAAAAAGCAGATTAATAAGATTCTTTTCATAGATAACTCCAATAAATAGCACTAATATTATAGAAATGCTTTTTACTTTCATAAGTCCTGAGGATCCGGACTCCCATTATCTTACCTAGTGCTGTGGTGTAATTAGTCTGCTGCCACAGCCCAAGTGTATAAAATCCTCTGGTTAATCTCTTGTGATGATTCAAATCCTGGAGTAATTTCCTGAAAAAGAGATGAGATAAGAAGACAAAAACCTTGTTGTAATGCAATAATTGTGAGTTAATACATATTTTTAAAAAAGATCAAATTTGTTAGTCCCATCCTAGAGAAAATGTCACAGACAGATATAATTTGATGGTATTGCTATTCTCTCAAGGTATTTAGTTAGCTGACTTCCATAAAAACATCGAGAACATCCTGGATTAGCAATTTAAAGGAAAAAAAAAGACTTTTCTGTTGTTCTTATTAAAGCACTGCTATGGACACAGGAAAAAGGCTAATTAAATTTCCTTCTGACTTATTCGATTATGGATTCATAGTGCATATCTGTCTTTAACCTGATCTCCACGTCTTAATGTTATCACTATTACCATCAATCAGTACTTAATTTGGTACCCTGAATATACTAGGCAAATAACAGCAAAATAAAACATAAAGGAAATATGGAACATCTACTCTGATTTTCAAACTATATATCCTTTAAATAACAACTAGAGGAAAAATTAACTAAAATTGTAATAGCAGTTTTGTTAGAGGTGATAAGTAATTCTCTCTTCAAAGTACTCACAATTTTATATGTCTCCATTTTAAAAGCATAATGTTATTTATTTATTTTATTTTATTTTTTGAGATGGAGTCTCACTATGTTGCCTAAGATGGAGTGCAGTGGCATGATCTCCACTTACTGCAACCTCGACTTCCGGGTTCAAGCGATTCTCCTGCCTCAGCCTCCCAAGTAGCTGGGATTACAAGCGTGCACCACCATGCCCGGCTAATTTTTTGTATTTTCAGTAGAGACAGGGTTTTGCCATGTTGCCCAGGCTGGTCTCAAACTCCTGACCTCAAGTGATCTGCCTACCTCGGCCTCCCAAAGTTCTGGGATTACAGGTGCGAGCCACTGCGCCTGGCCATAATGTTCTTTAAAAAAAAAAAATCATTCTAACTTCTAATCATTTCTGGGAGAAAATTTAAGATTAAAAATCCTCCAAAAGGAGAAAGGGATGTGCTAATATTTATTTTTGTCTAATCTTAACAGTAAGAAATTGATTTTAAAAGTACCTTTAATCGATACATTTATAACATAATATGCACGAGAAAGCCAGAATACACCAGTTTCATGGGCAAGTGAAAGTAAGCATATTTACATAAAAAATTGGAAACTGTATTCTAAAAGCAGTTTAAAAATCAAGTCAAAGCTTGTTCTTAGTTTAGGGCCAGGAATTAGTTTTAGAACTGATGCAATCTCAAACCAGAGCCAAAAACTGTTTGCCAAAGTCTTTGCCCCAAAGGGAGACACTTCTAATTCTCCAGAAGGGACACTACGCTGTTGAGATTGTCTTGAGACGTGGGGTTAGGTAACTGATAGGGGTACAGACATTAAATTCATTTTGAAATACCATTTTCCTTTCCAACAAAACTGAAACCTAAATTCTTTTTCACAATATGCAATTTGTAATCAAGGCCTCCTCTACTGAAGGGTTTAATTAGCTTCTTGTGCATTTGCTCCTCTTTCCTGGGAATGAAAGGATAAATGGGAAGTTCATGTCTCCAGGGTTTATTCATTACAGAATGGAAAAAATGAGGCTATGGACTTTCTCAAGGATGATTTAGAGAGAAGGGATCATTAAATTACTGTACTCCCCTCCTTATCTTTTGCAGAAGGCTAACAAAGTGACTGCACAAGATGCACTCCATCCCAGAAATACAAACAGTTCTTGGCCAGCATTTGACTAGAAGTCAACTGCGAGCTCTGTCAGGTTTTGATCACACACTGGAGCCTGTTCCTGGAAGCAAAGATCATCTTAATGCTTCTCTTAACACCTGTTGTGTCTGCTCCAGTTTCCACCTGGATAGTTACAAAGCTCCAAAGCTATAAAATCAGAGAGAAAGTCTACCATTTCATATGACCTAAGCACCACAAGGTGTTGGGTAGTACACCGCCAAATATTGAGCACATTAAAAAAGAAGAAAAAAGTGCTCCTCCTGAGGGAGATCTTTGTGGTAATGGAATAGTTCTGTATCAATTACTGTGGTTATATCAATCTACACATGTTAAAATGGCACAGAACTATAAATACATTTTGTGCCACTGTCAATTTCCTGGTTTTGATACTCTAGTTAAATAAGATGTAACTATTGGGGGAAACTGGGTAGAGGGGACATGTGACCTCTCTGTACTGTTGTTGCAACTTCCTGTGAATCTGTACTTACTTCAAAATCGAATGCTTTTATAAATGCACCTTGTGTACATTAACATACTTTGAACATTGTGCAATAGAACGAGTCTAATGCAAACACACAGCACACTTCCCAAATATGAGGTCTTCAGCCACAACCAGAGAGAACGCTTGAGGTTGGGAATGCCCTTGCACATGCTTTTCCCTCTACCTGGGATACCCTTTCCCACCTCCTGCACCGCTTATTCCCCTTCCCCAGGCTGGCTCCTTCTCATTTCTCAGGCGACATCTCAAAGCCCCTTCCTTACAGAGGTGTTCCCCTGTCCTAACCTTTGCTGTTCTCCGAATATTCCACTCCTTTCACAGCTCCCTTCACCATGTGTAATGATTCAATTACTTGTTTGTTGCCCATCTCCCCACTAGAGTATAAGGTAAACTCCACGAGGCCCTTAGCATACCCCCTGCCACATGGAAGATGCTCCAAGAAGATTTTGTTTGAATAAATGACCCCACCAACTGAATGGACTCCCTTGCGGCCAAGGGGACTCCAGAAAACTTTAAAACTGAGTTCCCAGAAAATGACAGGACAGAAGGTCAGACACACCTTATTATACCTTCATCCTATTAGAGTTTAGACACAACAGCTGACCAGCATTAACGTGAAAACACAGATCATAAGACTGACAGAACAGACTCTTTGTGACAATAAGATACCAAATTATATACAAATTATACCTAAGGTCATGCCAGGTAAAGGTTAAGGCACACATCCCTTCACTTAGAGAATAAACTGTGTTCTAACTGCCACAAGGTTTTTCTCTTACTCTAGCAGCTTGACAAGCACTGGCCTCGAGATAAGCAATATTAAAACAATTTGCAGCTCCACCAGATGTGGACTAATGGAACCCCTATTCCACCAGCCATCACTACAGCTTTAATGGGACAAAAGGTTTATTTCAGTAACTTTCTCCTAATAGGAAGACCACCAACCATGGACTGGCTCTGGCTAGTTTACACAGACTGCATACTTGCACACCTTCCTGTCCTGAAAAGACCTTTTGATGCATGGGGTCTAACTGTAATACATGTATTATTATTATTTTTTACAGTCTCTCAGGCTGGAGTGCAGTGATCTGATCATACATCACTGCAGCCTCCATCTCTTGGGCTCAAGTGATCCTCCTGCCCCAGCGTCCTGACTAGTTGGCACCCCAAGCGCACACCACCCCATCTGGCTATTTATTTTTTCACTTTTTGTAGAGATGGGGAGGTCATCATGCAGCCCAGGCATTTAACATTTAAATGGTAACTCTTCACTCCAAAGTGAACATGGGTTGTATGTTACATGCATGTTTGCTCAATAGGCATGTGTCAGGACCACCCTCATGAATATTCATAGCCCCTCCTGTCACCTGCTGAATATGCATATTTCCCCAAGCTGTTCAACATAAAGCTGCTACTCCAACCCCTCCTCCGACGAAATGCCTGTCTCTGGTCCTGGCCATTCCCCAGCCTGATGAATGGCCACCTTGTAGGCTGTAAGTCCTTACAAGAAATAAAGTCTCTCCTGTTTTTTGTTTTGCTTTGTTTTTTTGAGACGGAGTCTCTCTCTGTCGCCCAGGCTGGAGTACAGTGGCGACATCTCGGCTCACTGCAACCTCCGCCTCCCGGGTTCAAGTGATTCAACTGCCTCAGCTTCCCGAGTAGCTGGGATTACAGGCGCGCGTCACACGCCCAGCTAATTTTCGTATTTTTAGAAGAGACGGGGTTTCGCCATGTTGGCCAGGCTGGTCTCGAACTCCTGACCTCAGGTGATCTACCCGCCTCGGCCTTCCAAAGTGCTGGGATTACAGGCATGAGCCACCGCGCCCGGCCGCCTCTCCTTTTCCAAATGTATACATTTTGATTTTCTTAACACTCCTCACTCGAGTTCGTTCACTTCGGTTGGGGGCTGATCTGCTGGCCCTCACTTCCGCCACTTCGGTGCCCCTCAGTCTTCTCCCCTCACTCGGATCTCACGCCCTCATGACAGGGCGTCATTTTCTTCCCTCTAACTCCTCAGCCCATAGGAGGCGCCTTGGTCCGGTACCTCTGCCCAGCAGGGCGACTTTTCCTCACTCGCACTTTTTCCTCGGGTCATCCTCTGCGGCCAGCTCCCCACTATCCTCACCCTCCGCTCCACGTCCGTGGCTTCCGGCCTCCCTTCCGGTGCAGGGGCCCGGCCTTGTACCCACAGCCTTGGGGGCTCTCGCCCCTCAGGCCACGCCCCTCAGCCCACAGACCTAGCGGGAAGTGACTGCGAAGCTGCAGCGCTGTAGAGGGACCGGAGGGCGGGGAGTCGGAGGTGTGTCCTCCTCGATCCTGGGTTTTGATTGGCCAAGTCTCGCGGGGGCGGGACCTCGATTGGAGGCGGGGCGGCAATCTGGGTCTTGTAGCCCTGGCTCCTCGGGGTACTCCCGGCGGCTCCGGGTTTGGCGACGAGGACGGAGAAGTGCCACTGCGTCTCGGGCAGCATGGCCGAGAAGCGGCACACAGCGGACTCCGAAGCCCAGCGGCTCCCCGACTCCTTCAAGGGTGAGCCCCGCGTCCCCTGACCCTCCTGCGTGGACCGAGCCCCCGCCCGCAGGGTGCGCTCCGCGGTCTGACTGCCGGGCTCCTGGCCAGTCTCTGCTGCTTCGGGCTGGGCGAGAACTCAAAGCCGCGGCTCTTCCCTAGTAAACTGAGCATCACGAACCTTGTTTGGCAGACTGGAGTCACTATAGAGGGGTGGCAGGGTGCCAACAGCACGTTTCCCATCGCGCGGGCTCGGGTTATCTCGCGGCCGCCAGATGCCAGGCCCCATGCCAGCGCTGCGCTATCTCGTGTCACGCACGCGGACGAGGAAACGCAGAGGGAACTGGCAGCCAGTAAGGCGGAGACCGGGACCCCCACATCTCACCCTTTGCCTACTTCCCTTCTTTCCCGACTCACCCTCTCGAAGGCCACCTCCCCACCCAGCCCTGGCCCAGCCCCAGGGTGAACCCCTTCCTCCCCCAACCCCACCTCCTGAAACTTAGACCGATTTGCAGAAGGAAGAAGTCTGTCTGACTTTCTTCTCACCTCTCTTTCTAGCTCCACTTTCTGCCCCATTTTTCCCCCTCCGCTTTCCTTTGCGTTTTGGAGAACTCTCCTTCCTGCCTTTTGTTCCTCGCCAGGAACCCTGAGTTCTCCCACCCTCACCCCCACCCTCCCTTCCCAGTCTTCAAGGCAGAAGTTGCAAGTGGCACAGTCTCCTTCCCCTGTGGAGAAACTGGTACTCTGGAGAGGGGGTTCTAATAAAGAGAGGTGGTGGACCTCTCAGGAGTCCTGGTATTTACTGAGGAACTCTTAGTGATCCAGAGGAATTACAGTGTTTCTAAAGATGGAATTTCAGGCAGGGTGGCAGTGAAAGCAATTTAGAGGGCTGGGTGATCCTTTCCAGGACCCCGCAAAGAACACTACATTGGAGTCATCTATTCTGATTATTTGTAAAGCCAGCTTTATCCTCTCATTTTACCTGTAAGTTCCATTTCCCTTGTCCAGGAATCCATGTGTTCAGTTCCTTCCCAGGAGCATCAAAGGAATTATAGAAATCTTTATTCCTCGCTTTTTCTCTACTAAGAATGTTGCAGGATTATCTTCCCAAATGGAGAGTGTAATAGGGAGGAGTTGATGAGAATAATAGCAACCACAACAACAAAAATTGAAACTAAATAGGCCAGGCTCCGTGCCCCCCCCTCCTTTTTTTTTTTTTTTTTGAGATGGGGTTTTGCTTTTCTTGCCCAGGCTGGAGTGTAATCTCGGCTTATTGCAAGCTCTGCCTCCCAGGTTCAAGTCATTCTCCTGCCTCAGCCTCCCAAGTAGCTGGGATTACAGGTGTGCACCACCATGTCCGGCTGATTTTGTATTTTTTGTAGAGATGGGGTTTCATCATGTTGGTCAGGCTGGTCTCAAACTCCTGACTTCAAATGATCCACACGCCTCGGCCTCCCAAAGTGCTGGGATTACAGGCATGAGCCACTGTGACCCCCCAGTGCCACATATTTTATGTATATATTACTTTATTGAATCTTCACAACAGATGATGTGGTAGGTATTCTAATCCCCGTATTATACTTGATGAAACTTGATAGTCAAAGAAGTTAAATTACTTAAAGTCACATAGCTTGTATTTAAATCTAGATTTGACTGATTCTAAAACCTGAATAGGAAAAAAATGGGTGGTAACTGCCTTTTTGATAGTTGTCTTTTCCTAGATAAGAAGGTGGGTATTAGGATGCATTCCTCAATATCCTGACCTCCTGGTGGGAAACTGCGTGGGAAATCTGCTTGGAGTTCTTTGGGAATCAACATGATCTTTGTACTTAATGTTTATTTACAGACGAGTGGTCACAGATGAGTTTTTAACTTCCAGTTTTTTTTCTTGATTCTACACTTAACTATTTTTTAGGCAGAAATCTTTCAAGATCTAATGAAAACCACTGCTTCCTCTCAAAAATTAGACATACAAATAAAATTTTGCATAGTCTGTGTTTTTTTTAATGTAAACCTTAGAAATTTGACACTACTAGCAAAGCTATTGCTGGAGTTTATTAAATAGAGGTTATTGAATGCTTTCCCTGTGCCAAAACACAGTTTAAGTGCTTTACAAACATTATCTAATTGCATTCTGTAACAGCTCCACAAGGAAAAAGTCATTATTCACCATTTCACAATAAGGATACTAAGGCTCATGTGGTAAAATCACAGTTTCTAAAATTTTCAGCCCGGTTTCAAACCCGGCTATCTGATTTTCTGAACCATTTTTCCCATCCCAGAGATGGATACCAAAATGTAGAACCTGGTCTAACTTCAGTACTTTACTGAAGTTGAGAGACAATAAACAAAAAAAGCCTGGAGGAACACAGCTTCAGTGATGACTTCCAGAGGTCTGCTTGAGAGGGAAGCAGTGGAATTATAAAAGCCTAAACTCTGCCTCTTTGTCTTTGCTGAGAATTAGTCCTAGGTAGGTAAATAGGACCAGACCTAGGGCAAGACTAGTTTTTTTTAAAGGCAGTGTATTCACTTTGTAATGAAATAATGCAAGTGAATTACAAAGAATGTATCTATGTAATTAAGAGCCATGTCAACCAAATAAAACCCTTTGGGAGAATGTCTGAAAATAAGAAGAATCATGAGACTGATTGTTTATTTCAGTTGTTTTAGCCAATCAGATTGGAGAGAACTTTGTAACTTCTTCAATAATTAATCTGAGTTATTCCATCAGTGGTCATAAATTAACTTATGGAAGACCAAGTCTACAAAACTGGCATATTTATTTATGATTACATAGATTTTTGGTGCCACTTGATGGTATAAATTTTACATGGTAAAAGACAGTCACTGATTCCTAGTCAGCTTTGAGAAAAAAAAAATTAAAGATGTTGATAAAGTGATACAGATGGGATTCAAAATCAGTTTTTTTAAGAAGGCATGGAAAAGCAATTTCCTGAAAACTATTGTAATTACAAAAAAGTGAATACCCTTTCTCTGCGTCTGTCTGGTATCCTGTGCATATCTCTATCATAATGTTTATTACATAATATGTTTATCAGTTTGACTCATCTTCCCCTCCCCTCCTATAACTAAACACACGTTTTCTTTCTGAGACAAGGTCTTGCTCTGTCGCCCAGGCTGGAGTGCAGTGGTGCAGTCATAGCTCACTGCAGCCTCAAGTGATCCTCCCCCGTCAGCCCCTCGAGTAGCTGGGACTACAGGTGTGCACCACCACACCCAGCTAAGTTTTTAATTTTTTGTAAAGACGGGGTCTTACTATGTTGCCCAGGCTGGTCTCAAAACTCCTGGACTCAAGTGATCCCACTTTAGCCTCCCAAAGTGCTGGGACAACAGGTGTGAGCTACCACGCCTGGCCTTTAGACCACACTTTTGAAAGAAATTGTGTCCTTCTTCACTGTAGTAGCCCAGTATCAAGTATATAGTAGGTATACAAAAACATTTGTTGAAAGAAAAAGGAAGCAGGCAGGGAGATAAAAATCCCGATGGAGTAAATAACATTAAGTGTTTGCCTTAACCTTATGTTGGTGGAGCAGTTTTTCTGTTTACCATTGATTTTATTAAGTTTGTTATAACCCAAGCTGTTGATTTTAGGGTGCAGCCATTATGTTTATTATATATTATTACAGATAGACATTATATTTGTCTGGGTTTATATTATCAATAAAAGGATTATAATTGCCAAGATAATATATTGTCCCTAATAAGAAATCTCCTTTTATTTATTAAAGCATGGAAAGAGAAGTTAGAGGTCATGGTTAGTAGTAGAAAAAAATTCCTGCTACATTTTTTTTTAATCTTTCTCTATTTGCTGGGACTAGGAAAGAAACTTGAACTCCAAGCATTTGGCCTCACATTTCAAAGATTATCCTTGAAGACACAACCGATAAAGTCCTAAAGTCTCAGACAATGAAAACTATACCGAACTTGTGGTCCAGTTAAAGTGAGCACTATGGTGAGGTAGTAGAGTATAGTGAAATGGGAGTGGAATTTAGAATTAAAAGCTTTGGGTTGAGATCACTCTACCATCACTTAAGAGATTTGTATGAAGGATGGTCCAAGAAAATTTAGAACGCTGACTTACTGCCCCAAGTGTGGTCTGTTTCTCCTCCAGAGATACAGTCCCCAAGCAGATTGTTAGTTGATATTTTCTCCATAGTGCCCAGATCCCAAAAGTTAATTCACTTCATAAAGAGTTTCTTCTTCTAAACTTATCAATAGTGATCTTAAAGTTGTGGTAATAATAATGGCTACTGCTTGTTGAATACTTCCTAAGTGTCAAGCCCTTTACATATTTTCTCATTTTATCTTCACAACAACTGAGTGGAAGAATTACTATTCTTTTCCCCCATTTTACTGATAAGAAAATTTAGTGGTAGATTTGGAATCTAACACCAAAAATGCAAGCTTTTAGCCACTGCTTAGCTGTTAATCACAGTGAAGAACTGAGAACCTTGTCATCTAGTTTTCTTCTGGTTCCATTTCCCATTTTTAAATGAAAATGATGTTACCCTCCAAATACTTATATGAGAAAAACTTAATTGTGGATAATTTTAAGATGTCCAAGTAAAAGAGCTGGGGAAAAAAAAACAACAACAACTTAAAAAGTGGGAGGTTTTTGTTCTATTTTCATGTATTTCAGGTCTAGATGAAATTTAATTCACTTAATACCCATTATGAAATTGTTTTTCTCTTCGATTTTCCTGAACATAAATGTTTTGGTGCTTCCAGACATGGGCCATGTTCAGCCCATTCTTCTACTTTCCTGAATTCTCTAACCTTACAGTTGGAAAAGGTCTGATTTTTTTTTTTTTTTTTTTTAAAGAAAACACTTGAGGAAAGCAGTTGACAACTACTTGGGGCAGGAGATGGTTCTGTACTGTATCCCAGGATCCTGTCTGCTATTTCAGTTGGTCTTATGTAAGAGGCAGTCTTTTTTTTTTTTTTTCTCTTTCCCCCAAAGAAACAACACACTCAACTCATCCAGCAACTATTTAACAAAT